CTGCTTGAAGACCAATTACAGAACCAGAAAAGGGAGCCAGTTGCACGAAGAGGGCGATAGGTAACATGGACCTTTTGGATAGGTTCCAGGAGCTACAACTGCACCATTTGGTTCATCGGAGGTCACCGCTTGGAATCAAAATGCCAAATTTTCGGTCTTTACTCTAAACAACACTTATTAGAGTTTTCTGCATGCGAGTCTTTAATCGGAAGGTTGACGAAGATCTGCCACACACACTTCACTTGGTTTCGTTGACCCTTGAAGGGTCTGATCCCGATATTCCTTAACGGGCCCAGTTGCAGTTCGCAATGTATGCGGTGCACCTCAGTAGTGGGCATTCCATCCACTGCAAAGCCATCAAGTCTGGGACCATCGAGCAGTATCTCCTGGCTGTGACCACCCTGATACAGAATTTTACTCAGGTGGATTACCGTAAGGACAAACCTGGTGATACGAAGCTGGGCAAATACATAACCGGTGTCATGAAAGACATTCGCAAGTACGAGTCCATGCCTGGTCGTCGTGAGCCCTATGACCACAAGATGCACTCTCTGGCTAAGAAAGTTGCCGAGAAATTCCCAAGTACAAGTCTTATCTGTGCCCTCACAGATGGGTTCGAACAAGGGATGTGTGCTGGTTTCCGCCTTACTGAATGGGCCCAGCCAGGTGGTAAAACCAACTTCACCAAGCCCCATACCAATGGGATGCCTTTGCCAGCCTCCCAGACTCGGTGCTTGTCCCAGATGCTTATGCGTGCCATTGGGTGTGGCAGATTGGGTCAATGGCTTGGACTTGGAGATCCTCTCTGTCCCCTGTGCGACTTCTGTCGTTGCCGTAATCTTTGTTAACAGCATCGTCACACAAAGAATGGCAACAATGGCGAAGAGCGGCAATTTGAGAAGAACCCTCCCCCGGGGGGTTTTGCTTCGTCAGTTCCTCTTATCGAGCACTGCAACGTTTTGCTATCATCCAGGGATGGCACCCTGGATTGTCTGCGCAAAACACACCCCTGTCTATCTACTGGGACCCTCGTGCACATCGCCCCAAGTTGGTTGATTCATATGCCATTGAGCGATATATGCGGCGCCTTGCGTCTACGGTCTACAATCTTGACCCCGCTGCTCATGCTGCTGACATCCTCCTTTGGAGTTCCCACTCGCTCCGTATTGGAGCTTGTGTGATCCTGCACATCATGGGATTCTCCGACGGGGATATCCAATGGATACTACGGTGGAAGTCTATGACCTTTGCTACCTACTTTCGGAACGTGGCCCTACTGTCACAGCGGCAGAATGCTGCCTTCGATCGACTAATGGCTATGCCATGCCTCTAAAGTTGGTTTCCGTTTCTTTATAAAGTTTTAAATTTGAACTATACCCGGTTTCCTTTTGACCGTGCCGACCATACTGTCATGTGTTGTCATTTGGTTCTCTGCCCTGGACATTTGCGTCTTGGATATCATGCCCGTCCTCACCCAGTGGGGCTTTACGCCGCATCGTCCTGGCGCCGATTGCGGCGGTTGGGACGGAACGTTCCATCCCGCTCCCGTTTGCTTCCAGAACTCATCTGGAGCACGCAACCCGTCATCAGCTTCGAGACCTCGGTCGCGTTGTAACGCTTGTTCTCCTCACGGGTGCCCGTGTAGAGAACGTTCCACGCGGCGCTTGCCAACCCTTGCCCCGCCTTGGCCTTGGCTGCCGATAGCACCACCGTGTTGTCAGCCAGTGCTTGGCGGACCACCTTTTTGGGTGTTACCATTGGCTGGCGTCGCGCCGTTGGATCAAATCCTGGCAACGCCGAGTTGTACCGGGGGTTCTGCTCCTTGAACTTGGCTTCCAGCCGATGAAACTCCCTGCCCGAGATGGACAGCAATGAACGCATTGCCGCTCGGTCCTCGGGGCCCAACACTCCCAACGGGAAAGTACGGCGCCACTGCATGAACGCAGCTTCACTCGCGGCGCTCTTGCTGCCGGTAGCACCTGCAATGAGACCCACCGTTGCTTTCATCCCACTTTCCAACTTGGCGATGTACGCGTCCTTTGCAGCGTCGTCCATGATGCCTGCGTGAACAATACAGCTGCGTCGTTGTTAGCAAGCGTCTCATTTCCCTGTTATTTCATGGTCACCAATTTCCGTCCACGTACCTGATACAGTTTCGTACAGTATTTCTGCCGGTCCTCTGAGTTGTGCCTGAGTTTTCCTCTGCACAACGAACTTTGTGGCTTCGTGGGGTTACCACGATTCCACCTTTCTTCGTTGTACAACGGTCGATTCCCTCAGCGAAACTTTTGTTTCTCGGGAATGAATCGCCCCTGGATTTTTTTCCAGCTGTGCTGGCTAGCCGCCTCCGTGACTTATGGCGCGAACTTGCTCTCCGAGCAGCGTCGGCTGCTACTGGCTCTAGAAGCTAGTAGTACTAATCTTGGTTTCCCATCTCCCTGGT